AACCCGCCACCCTTGGTATGTGGGGCTGGAGCCCTACTCACTGAGCCACAGGTGCCACTCACAGGTGGTATAAATATGAACTCAAAACTTGTATTTGAAGACTTTATCCCCCTCAACCAGAGGGGAACAGGCTAAGACAAACATGTCTTGTTATCAGTCTTTGCTGGTGGGTGGAACTTTTATCCTAGACTGCGTCTTTACTAAAGAGATCCTGATTTCATGGGTTTCCCTTCAGTTCTCGGTTTCACATTGACCCATAGCCTCTTCTCCCAACTCTTTGAATTGGTTGGTAAATGATCCTAGGAAGGCTTAATTTTTATTTTTCTCTTTATAAAATAATTTTTCTTTTTATGAATTTGACTAGGCATTTAAAAGGCTGTTTGTTTCATTTTATTTGGCATTTCTAACAAGCTTTGGCAGATATTTGGACCCCCCAGTTTTTTGCTGGAAATGGAAGTCCCTAGGAAGCAATCTCGATAACTGGCAACTAAGGGGAAGGAGGGAGGAGAAGCACCATGGTTGAGGTTGCGGAAGTGACAGGCCCAGCTCATAAACCACCTTGTCATCTGCTTGCAGTTTCTGCGTGTGGAGGAACGAGAGCTGGGCAGCCCATACACAGGACCTGAAGCCCTAAAGAAAGGTCCTCTGTTCATTAAGAAGGTGGCCACCAACCAGGGTTCCAAAGCTTCACCCCAGGGAGAAGGTTCTGCAGATGTGCCATGTCCTCCAGGTCCTGCTTCTGACACCACGGAAGCATCTAAGAGCACCTCAGACACCACCAGTGCTACCACTGCTGCCACCATGCCCACACCCCAAGAGACAGGCCCAGAGCCCAAAGGCAAGGACAGTGCCAAAGGGTTCTGTGAGCCCATGGGGGAGAAGAAGAGTCCAGCCACCATCTTCCTGACTGTCCCAGGCCCCCACTCTCCAGGGCCCATCAAGTCACCCAGACCCTTGAAATGCCCTGCCTCCCCATTCGTATGGCCGCCCACAAGGCTGGCTCCCAGCATGTCCTCGCTCAACTCCCTGGCCTCTTCCTGCTTTGACCTGACAGATATCAGCCTCCACATTGAGTATGCACCTCTCTGCTTAATCTTTTCTAAAATCATCTGCATGAAAAATACTTCCCTGGATGGAAAAGGGGAAGAAATATTGTCAGCCATTATCTCTTCAAATATTGTCTCTCTTCTATAAATTTCTGTGCAAGTTCTGATTTTTAGCAAATATCTTCATGAGAGGCAGCGCGGTATCAAAGGACAAAGGACAAGGGAGAGAGAGCCCAGCAGTCTGGTGATGGCTCTGGTTACAGACTGACTATAAAGTAGATGCTGGACTTTGGTTAAGGTCCCTTCCAGCAGAAACATTTCCTAAATTCTAAAGAATTATACCGAGATGATGTAGAAAGCTTAAAATATGGAATTACGTAATAATTGGCTATTATGTATGAGGGATTTACATGGCCTTAGCATGTTATAATTTAATTCAATCTTCGCAATAACCCTCCAAGTTAGAACTTACTATCAAAGTTCAAAGGAATTCACCCAAGGTTCCACAAGAAATCATGATGTAAAGGCAGACCCCACTTCAGGGTTCGTGCCCATCCAACTGTAAAGTAGGCTCGTTCTATGTGAATGCTGGATGGAACTGACCTCCAACTGAGATTGGAGAATTCAATTCCCACAGAGAATTATTTACCCACATGGCTTTATGTTCCTCAAATAGGACATGCTTCTCTGTCTTGGGGGGAGAGGGCCAACATTTGCAATGACAAGGAGAGGTGACCATTCTCTCTTCACAGAAGCGGGCATCTCAGGCAGCGGAGGCTGGGCGAGATTCAGCTCACAGTGCGCTACGTGTGTCTGCGGCGCTGCCTCCGTGTGCTGGTCAACGGCTGTAGGTAAAAGGGCTGTGGGGCCAGGAAGGTCCTGTGGGGACTCTGGGTGCCCATGAATCAGAAGAGGGGCACTTGAGGCAATGCCCAGGGCATGCAGTCCCACGGTAAATGAATAACATGTTGCGATGAAATGAGGTTAGAAGTACTCTGAGTGACAAAGACTTTGAAGGGTTACTTTGGTGGTCATTCTTCAGCAGTGCTGATGGGCTCCGAGCCCAGGGCCGGGCTCAGATATCATCACTGCAAAACTGTCACAGGGGCTGGGGCAGCTGATAGGCGGTACATTTTCCCAAGAGGAAATATCTAACTTTCCTTAGATGGAAGGTACTTGATTTATCCAAAAGCATAAAAATACATGTTTTTGAAACCGTGCATCTGACATTTTGTCCTCTAATTCTGCAGACCTTCACTTTTGGTCACCTTAGTGTACAAAGCATTCCATATCCTCAAGGTCATCTACAGCTGAATGGCCAGTATAGCTTTCTCTCACTGAGTATTTTCCAAGTTTGAAAACCAGGGGCCTTTTTTCTCTCAATATCTTTGAAACCAAATCAGAAACCTGACACCATGTACCAGCAGTGGAGCTGATCCCTACGTCCGTGTCTACTTGTTGCCAGAAAGGAGGTGGGCATTTCGTAAGAAGACTTCAGTGAAGAGGAAGACCCTGGAACCCCTGTTTGATGAGACGTAAGTGGGCTATGGGCCTGCCTAGAGCGCCTGATCCGTTGGAGTATTTGTCAAGCACCTGTTGTGTGCCTGGCAGCCTGTCAGCATCTCTGACTTCGTGAAGCTTCTATACTCTTGGGAGGAAGGGAGGGCCGGGGCAGTTGATCAGAATGTCTCCCCACATTTATTGCTGGTACAGGCTGGCTAAAGTGTTCCTGATTGTGGAATGGTCCCTACTCTTTCTCTTTAAATGAAACCTCTTTGGTAGTAAAAGGATTTGAGCCTGTCTAGTCAATATGTTTCTTTTATGATCTGTCTTAATTCCAGCAGTTAAAAATAAACATTCTTTGAACCTGAGAACCTAAAATTTCCTCTAATGCTCTAGGCTTTTTAGCCTGTCTTCTCTCCTGCAACCAAACACAGGTGGCAGTAAAACAGCCTTCCATGTCCTTGAGGACAAGACTGGTAGATAGACTCTAATCATATTAATTATTTTTGGTCTGTGATGGTAAGTCTTGTCCTAAATATTTGCATTCTTGACAACAGTCAAGGGACAGAGTCTGAATCTCATCGTTGTTTCCTTCTACTTCAGGATCCTGAGAAGACGTTTTTAGCAACATAGAGAAAAGTATTGTGTCTTATAATTTTGGTTCCCTCTTATCCTAGCCAATAAGTAAGAGTTGTACTGATTCCTCTTTGGGCCATGTCTAAGAACTAATGTTCCTTCAAGAACTACACTTCTGAGTTCAACAGTGTTAAGAAAGGGTGTGGGGAAGAGAGATTTCATCCATTCAACATTTGCTGAATACTTTGTTAGGCATCATGCTATATTCTAGAACCTCCCAAGTAAAAGACTTTGCCCTTAAAGAGAGCTCTGATACAATTATAGAAGGATGACAGAATTGCTTATGCAGGAACACAGGAGGGAAAGGTTTAACATTTGACTTTTGTGACAAGCCTAAACTGTTAGTAATTCTCGAAATTAAAATAGTAAGGTAATAGCTGGGCATTGTGGTGGGTGCCTGTAGTCCCAGCTACTTGGGAGGCTGAAGCAAGAGAATCGCCTAAGCCCAGGAGTTGGAGGTTGCTGTGAGCTGTGACACCACAGCACACTACCGAGGGCAATAAAGTAAGACTCTGTCTCTAAAAAAAAAAAAAAAATAGTAAGATAAGCCTGGATTATTTAGAAGGCAGACTTGAGAACCCAGCCCTAAAAATAAAACTAGAAGTAAGGAGTCCAGGGGGCTCTTGTGAGTATTACAAAGCTTCCACACAGAGATTTCTCTGCCTTACTCCTCAGGAGGGGTGGCCAGTATTTTGCATGTTCCTCCAGCAAACCTAGCCCTGAGGAGATCAGAAAAACACCTGCAAGGGGGGCTGAAGGGGTCCTCTAAGCAGGTACTGTTCAGGGCAAGGAAGGGCAGCTCAGAGTGGTAGCCAGGGTAGAAGTAAAGAATTAAGATGCAGACTCCAAGTCACAGTAGCCTGGGTCACTTCTCAAAGGGGCAAATACCTTCCTGACAATTCCCTGGAATTTTGAGAACACTGCAGGACAGTGATGATCTGTAACAATGATGTGCTGAGTACTTGTGACCTGTTTTATTAATAGATACTCTTAATAGTCTCTGTCTCCATTTTGGTAGGGAAATGAATGAAATATTTTAGGTTTTCAACAAAAGTGATTGAAATATATAAATCTCATTTCCTGACTTTTTGCTTCTTAAAGATTTGAATTTTTTGTTCCCATGGAAGAAGTAAAGAAGAGGTCACTCGATGTCGCAGTGAAAAACAGTAGGCCCCTGGGCTCACACAGAAGAAAGGAGTTAGGGAAAGTAAGTAGAAGAGGGTCTCTGGGTACTCACTCTGTCGCTCCTGTACTTTGACTGGAGTTTACTGTAGAATACTTCCTTGCAGAAATTCTGATGAAACTGTTCTGCCTGTTACTACAGAACTGACTTCCAGGAGAGGTTAGCCTCACTGCGAGTTTGTTTTCATATTGTTTAAATTAAAGAATATAGAAATTTAAAATATGGATGAACCCTATTTTAACAAACTCAAGAACCTAATCCAAATCCATCATTCCACAAGTATTCCAATGTGATATTAAGTATTGTTTTGATAAATACAGCATTGTAGGAAGCTTGGGTCTCATTAGGTCAAAGTTTTTGTGGTGATGGGATTTTATGTAAAGTACATGTGGAGGAAATAGAATCCCCATGAAGATGGGGAGAGACCAAAGATACGGCACTTGTCCAATGCTTTGTAGTTTGTTTTAATAAGCACCTTCACATATGCATCTTTTTACAGCCCACTACTATTTAGTAGGTGGTATTAGCTCTAATTTTACAGATGAAAAAAGTTCTTTCCATTAAAATAACTTTCTTCAATAAACTTGGAATTCAAGTTTTCAAGTACTTGAAATTCCTGAAGTAAACTCCAAACCGCAAATCACCTTTCCCAGGATACTGATGTCCACTGCATTGTCCCTCTGGGGAGGCTCCATGGTGAAAGCCAAAGGCCAAAGAGCCCTGGGAGCGGGCACAGTGGCGGGCCTGTAGTCCTGGCTACTTGAGAAGCTAAGACAAGACTGCTGCTTGGGCCTAGGAGTTTGAGGCTGCAGTGTGCCGTGATCACACTTGTGAACAGCCACTGCACTCTACCTTGGGCAACATAGCAAGACCCCACCTCTAAAATTAAAAAATGAAAAGAGCCCCTGCTCAAAGCTCTGGAACCTAGGGAGAGGCTATGGTCAATTCAGTTTATCCCAATGTGTCTCCTTAGAGCAGTGTTTTGGAGGGTAACTAATTATTTGTGATTGTTTAGGTACTGATTGACCTATCAAAGGAAGATCTGATTAAGGGCTTTTCACAATGGTAAGTGGGCCTTTTCTTTTATCACTGTTAGCTGCTAGTTAAGATGTTATCTTAGCTGTCCATATTCTCTCCAAAGTGTTCCTTCTTCAGGACTATTTCAGCTCCTTTGGTTATCAAGAGGGAAGCAGATTAGTAACTTTTTAAAGGTTTCCCTGCCTGCAGATCTCACCTAAAGGACCTCTGTAAACTCTGTCCTTAACCCTCACTGGCCACCTTACAGAGAGATAGGTTCTGCTGGTCCCACGGCAGCCCAGGCAGGCAGGATGAGGTAGCTTGTCCTGTTGTCACCATGACACACTCGCATTGCTAACAAAAGGCCACACTCAACTGTCTTACAGGTATGAGCTGACTTCAGATGGACAGCCCAGAAGCTGATGAGGAGGAGTATCATTATCCCCTGTATGTTAAAGCATGTACATATGTATATTTTGTCATTTAAATATGAACAGCCATTGGATGAAAATATATACATGCATTCTTGTGTGGAATGTAACTGCGTGACTGAATAGTATAAGGAAGAGGTAGAGTTATTTAAAAAACAAAATAAAACTACTTTTTCGTGGTTGGATCTTATTCAAAACGAGAATGAAATGGTCTATTTGTGCCTAGTAAGTTATCAAAACTTCAGTGTGATTTTTTCACTTTCGGTAATTATATGTCATCTGATTTAAGACCTGCCTGAATGTATGTGTCAGCAAGTGTTCCATCTCTAACAAACGCGGTACGGAAGGCCTGTTTTGGGGGGGGCAATAAGTGACCAGGGGAGGTCACTTCTTTTATGGAAATAGAAAGTGACCCAACTGTAAACTGCCGAGAGCTAACAGTGCCAAAGCCCTTCCAGCTGCTACCTGTGGTACTTGTATGCCTGGAGATCATTCCTGTATTTGACTTGGAGCTAAAGGTATTTTCCTAATGGCAACAATGTCATAGTGATATACTTACTAAGGGCCAAACTCTAGCATGTGGCATTATTTCCATAGGAAAGTACAAAGCTAGTTCCAAACCAAGGTGTATCTCTGAACTCATAGCAGAGCATCAGAGACTGCTGAAGAGCGTCACTGCCACAGAAGAAACGGCACTTTCTGTATTTCTCTTAGATATATATGTAAATTATATATTTAAACAAGTGCCTCTTTTGCATTTCAAACTTTATAGGACCAAATATACTTCTTGTGCCGTCTGATGTCTCTAGAACTACTATGTCAAGGTCATATCTTCTCTCTTACCTTTCTAAACAACACTCCCTACATCAGTTTTCCTGTCCCCATCACTGCCTTCACTGCTGCTTTGCCGAAGAATGGCCACACCCTGAAACAAAGTCTTAGTCATATTACTTTTATGCACAAATTAGCTAAGATTTACTATTTTCTGTAAAATCAAAACCATGCCTTAATTTGTCCATTAGACCTAACACAATCTGGTCTCTGTTTTTCTGCTACTTTATTCATGTGCAGACACTCTATTCCAAAATAGTCCCAATACTGTGCCCTGCCTACTCACTTCTTAAAGGCTTATTTTAAACCCATCTCTGCCATTAACCCATTCCATACTGAAACGGCCTTTCCTCACCACAGATAGCATTTCCATTTTAGCCTCATAACAATAAATTTTATAAAACATTAGATACCTACCAAGGTCACATACTAAATAACTATTTATATATTTGATGTTTCTGTTTACAGTTAAATTATAAGCTACTTGAATTGTTTTTTTATTCTCACCATCCCAGACTGTGCTAAGTACATGGAAGATACATAATAAAAAGTTTTTCTTTCTGCTGTGGTTTCTATTTTGATTGACAGATTCTTAAAACAGTTGATCCCTATCCTGTCAAACTCACAGTGACATTTATAATTGCTTGCTAAATAGATAGTGCCTTGAAAATGGTAAAACACCAGAGAAGTATAAGGAAATATAGCCTATGTTACACCCTAAATATTAGCACCACTAAAATGGTTGATCAAGATGGCAGACAAGTAAAAACCTACTCTTCCTCTTCCAAACACATAGAAGTCCTAGTTAAACCATGAATATTTATTTCAAACATGGCTAATTAAAAAGCAACACAAGTCAAGTTTCCCAGTGATGGTCCAAAGGGGAAAACTAATGGAGTACATAGGAGTTGAAAGGGAGTTAAATGAGAATTTTAGCATAGACCAGAAAGGAGGCAAGGCACCTAAAAAGTTTGGTTTTATATCAAAAAACAGACCAACTATGATGGCTCATTTTTGCAATTCCAGCACTTACAGAGGATCAGTTGAGGCCAAGAGTTTGAGACCAGCTTAGGCAACATGAAGAGATCCTTTCTCTACAAAAATAAGTCAGGTGTGGTGATGTGTACCTGTAGTCCCAGCAACTAGGAAGGCTAAAGCAGAAGGATCACTTGAACCCAGGACACTGAGGTCGCTTTGATCTAGGCTGATGCCACAGCACTCTAGCCCAAGTGACAGAGTGAGACTCTGTCAAAAAAAATTTTAAAAAAGCAAACTAATGTATAGTGATGGAAAGCACATCAACTGTTGCCTAGGGATGGGAGAAGGTAGTGAAGGATTACCAGGGGTAAAGAGAAAACTTTTGGCATGTTGAGTATGTATGTCTTAGATTGTGCTGATGGTTTTATAGCTGTTCACATATATCAGAACTTATCAAATTGTATACCATAAATATGTACAGTTTATTATGTATGTCACTACATCAATAAAATTTTGAAAGTCAATATTTTTATATTTTAAATATTTATATTTAAATATTGCAAAACAATAATTGCAGTACTTTTATTATTTTTTATGAGACCTACATAGTCTTGCTATGGTGCTGTGGATAGAGTGCAGTGGCATCAGTGTAGCTCAAGTGATCCCCCTCCCTCAGCTTCTTAGGTGCACACCACCAGGCCTGGCTAATTTTCCTATTTTTAGTAGAGTCAGGGTCTCTTGCTCAGGCTGATCTTGAACTCATGAGCTCAGGTGATTGGCCCTCATTGGCCTCCCAGAGTGCTAGGATTATAGGTGTGAGCCACTGCACTTGGCCACTTTTCTTATATTTTAAATAATTAAAATTAGATAAAAGTAGATCCAGTAGAAAGCTTTTTCTATTAGTGGCACTGTCTTTCTCAATGGCATCTTTAAAAAACCTGTAGGCCTCTGATAAAAACTTTATAACTTCTGCTTTTATATAAGAGTTAACTACAAGTACTTAAGCTAGCTGACAAAATTGAGGGTTTTTTTTTTTTTTTAGAGACAGAGTTTTACTTTGTCACCCTTGGTAGAGTGCTGTGGCGTCACAGTTCACAGCAACCTCCAACTCCTGGCCTTAGGCGATTCTCTAGCCTCAGTCTCCTGAGTAGCTGGGACTACAGGTGCCCGCCACAATGCCGGGCTATTTTTTTGTTGTAGTTTGGCCAGGGCCAGGTACGAACCTACCACCCTTGATGTATAGGGCTGGCGCCCTACTCACTGAGCCACAGGTGCCACTCCTAAAATAATTTTTTAATTACATTTCTTCCTTTCAAATATTCTTAGATTTCCAAACTGTCTCATAGCAATTTTTTGGAATAATTAAATCATCTCAGAGTATTTACATTATTGAATGCTTTTTCTACCCATCTGTGAAGTCATAAGTTCTACAATTTATCAGATAGCCTTTAGAAATGTAACCACAGGTTGAGAAAACGATGAATTTAAAATCCATTAGAAGGAACCTATTATCTTACATCTGATCCCTAAATCTAAGGATCGGAATCCTATCTATTGACATTTACTCTATCCCACCATGCTGCTTCCTGGACATGCTTTGCAATGTCCTACGTGCCACCCAACAAGAATGACTCAAAGTCTTCAAAGTGGCTTTTACTAATGGATGAGGCAGTGCACTGGTCCCTTAAGAAAACCTAACTGAATATTGGGAAGAGAATATAAGCAGAAGACAGCAAGTAAAGTACTCTTATGTAAAATGCAGCAGGGCTGAACCAGTTGCCCAAGGAAGGTTTAGCCTAGGAAGAGAATACGACTCATTATTTGTGAGCAGTGCAAATAAGTCACTGAGGACACTTATGTTTAGAAATTCTTTACAAAATTTTATTAAAGATCTCATGTCCTTATAAAAAGTGCATTACATCAAGATTGCAAAAAAGACACTTATTCATCTACTTTACCCCATGATTCATTTCCTACCCTAATATAAATGATAAAACATTTTTCTTTCTTCTGTGTCTTCTTCCTGCTTTGAAAGGGCAACTGCCATGAGGTATCTCTTACTAGAATGTGCTAATTAATCCTTGCCAGGAGAGCAGTAGCTACTTAGTGGCTGGACTTAGCCTTAGGCACACCTTTTGCCCTGACCCAAATGTCACTAAACCCTGAACTTACTTGAAACTCTCTCCCTGGGTTCCTCTTACTCACAAGCTCTGCTTTAAAATGACCTTAAATTTTAAGTGCTCGAGAATTGCTTAAGAAATGATCAAAGGACCTAAAATTAATATACTACTTTAACTTAGCAACTATTTTCTGTATAAGAATCTCTTCGTTAATAAAAATTATATAGACGAAGAATTACCCAATTCTAAAAAGGGATGAATTATGAGAGCAAACACATTTTATAGTCCTTGTCTCAAAATGAGAGCAATCCTACCAAATACAAAATGTTAAGAATGCAATTTACACAGTAAAAATGATTTGATCTGTTTTCAGTATGAAAGTACTTTTAATTTCTTTACTGCAGGTACAATGGCATCCAAGTCATCGATTTCTGTAACAGAAAAACAAGAATAAAAAGTAACTTTTTCTAGTGATAAGATGAAATGAGAACCTCAATGCAAAGACAAACCTCAGACAGAAAGACGGCAATATTGGTGCTTTTATGCACATTAATTTTTTCTCCAACACTGTTGATAGATTATCACTGATTCAGATACAGATGCTTCATAGGGCATCTTAATTATATAAAAGCTGTCACATGCCTACAAGTACCCTCTGACTCTGGTATCACCTCATTAGCAGCGTGCTCTTATTAACAGATCCAACTGGCTACATCTGTGATACTCTAATGCTTTTTAGAGCTGTATAACTACATGGGTGTTCCTACATGGTCAAATTCCAGGCAAAGGTGTCTCTTCCCTGGATCTCCATGTGAGAGCACAGAACACAGTCTTATCTCTTGGGAATATTTCTCATTAGGTCACTCTTAGATCTACCTTTTAGGATGAGCATTATGTTCCCAACAAAAAGTAAGACGTGTCTCTGAGTACAAACATCAAATGCGATGTATTACACAGCTTAGCCTGGTCTAGCTCACCAGATAAACCAGTTTAGGTTCTTCTGTGGTAGGTTCTTTCTGAATTTGATTTCACTTCTTAAGATTATTTTATTCTGGGTGGTGCCTGTGACTCAAGGAGTAGGGTGCTGGCCCTATATACCCGAGGCAGCGGGTTCAAACCCGGCCCTGGCCACAAAAAAAAAAAAAAAATTATCTTATTCCAACCAGCCTAAGTCACAATTCACTCTCTAAAGCTCCTGGCCACTGGTGAAGTAGTCCTTTCTCTCATTATCCAGACCCAAGCCTATTTTAGGTGAGTCCCAATGGCAGGTTTTTTAGATATCCACTATTTTTTTCCAGATTATCCTGCCAGGGCATTCTTCATAAACTCATTTCCTTTACATAAAACATGCTTCCTTGGATTCTAACTCTCTCATTGTTTATCTGGATTTTGGTTGCTCTTCCCTTTATTATTTATTTATTTTATTTGATATTACTATTATTTTTTTTTAAGACAGAGCCTCAAACTGTCGCCCTGGGTAGAGCTGTGGCATCTCAGTTCACAGCAACCTTCAACTCCTGGGCTCAAGCCATTCTCCAGGTGCCTGCCACAATGCCTGGCTAGTTTTCCTATTTTTAGTAGAGACCAGGTCTTGCTCTTGCTCAGGCTGGTCTCTAACTCCTGAGCACCTCAGCCTCCCAGAGGGCTGGATTACAGGCATAAGCCACCATGCCTGGCTTAAAAACTGTTCTTAATAGTAAGATAAATTAATTTTACATTAAAATAGATTACATTTAAAATAGGGTCTTTATTTTGCCTATAATTCCTAGAAAATTACTTGGGTTTTGTTTTTTTTTGAAACAGAGTCTCTCACTCTCTTACCCCAGGTATAGTGCAGTGGCATCATAGCTCACAGCAACGTCAAACTCTTGGGTTCAAGCAATCCTCCTACCTCAGCCTCCTGAGTAGCTAGGGCTACAGGCTCAGGCCACAATGCCTAATTTTTTCAATTTTTTTGGACAGATGGGGTTTCCTCCTTGCTCAGGCTGGTCTCAAACTCTTGAGCTCCAGTGATTCTCCTGCTTTGGCCTCCCAGAATGCTAGGATTCTAGGTATCAGCCACTGTACCTGGCCAAAAATTACACTTTTTTTTTTCTTTGAGTACATACGTCTACTAATGTTGACACTCAGCATGACTAACAGTATAACAATTAATATCTTATTTCTTCCTTTCTACAGATATTTACTATTTTTGTATTACTTCATATCACTGGAGAAGAAATTTTATATGCATACTTAAAAACACAGATACTATATAGGTGCTGTCTTCAAAATGGGGGAGGTTGGGAGGGGGAGAAAAGAAAGAAGGAAGAATTTTCCAAGGTCCTAACTTCTACCAACATTTCCCATTAGGGACTGACAGAGCCAGGGTTAAACTGGGCATGGCCAGAAACAGTGTTTCTCTGTCTCCTTTAAAGGTCTGTGCTTTTCTTATTTGCAGACTAATCCCAACAAACTCTAACTGCAAGTTAGGAATGTGTTTCCAGAACTGTTTCCAGAGTGTCTATCAAACACTCCAGGTAAAAATACTAATCCAGTGACTAAGAAAAATCCTCTTTCAAACACACTGACATTTTAAGACTCAAAATTTAACCAATACCAACAGAGATCTTACCTAAGATTTCCAGTAGATCATTAGTAAATTCCTGAAATGCTGGGAAAAATTCTTCATGTTCTTCCAATTTGTTGATAATGCTGTTTAAAAAATACAAAGGTTACACCTAATTTCCAAGTTAAGAGTTTTTGCATCTGATTGCAAACAGGTGGTTACAAATTTAACATTTTGAAAATAGGAAGAAATTATCCTAATTTAAATGTAAACATAGTGGTCATTTACTTCAGTCCTTCCTTTTTTTTGAGCTCTTTGTCCACTAATATCACTTTTCTAAAAAAGGGATCTCAGATGTTATCAGTGTAAAATTTGTTAAACTTATATAACATTCCTAACACGGCAAATTTCCCATTTAGCTCAGGGCTTCTTAGAGACACCATGCTTTTATAGCATTCTAAAAATAATTGGCTTTTATATCCAGCATCCTATTAAATGGTAAGAAAAAGTAGTCAGTAAAACTGCAGGAAGGGAAAAACAGAGCAATAGTGAGATATACTTTCCATTTAAAAGCATTAACTATCAGAAGACTCAAGGGTCGGATTATGCGAGGGTTCTTTTTGGAAAATGCAGAACGTATGGAATATGTAGGTTTAGATGTGTTTCCTTTCCTGTGCATTATAGCGTAAAATTGGGGGTGGAGAAAGTTGCTTTAAGTATAATTACAATGTCCTAATATTTATCAAAAATATCAAATGTTATGTTAGAGATGCCTAGTGGGTTTTTTTTTTTTTTTTTGAGACAGAATCTTAAGCTGTTACCCTGTGCTGTAGCGTCACAGCTCACAGCAACCTCAAACTCTTGGGCTTAAGTGATTCTCTTGCCTCAGCTTCCCAAGTAGCTGAGACTACAGGCGCCTGCCACAATGCCCATCTATTTTTTGGTTGTACTTATCATTGTTGTTTGGCAGGCCTGGGCTAGATTCAAATTTGCCAGCTCTGGTGTATGTGGCTGGCACCCTAGCCACTTGTACAAGCGCTGAGCCACTAGTGTTTTTAAAAATTCTGATCAATTAATAAATATAAAAATAGGACTTCCTTGATACAATCTGAACTCACAAGAATATAATTTTCCCTGAGAACAGGCTTATGCTAAAGAGTTCATGACCTTCTTATAGGATCTATATAATCTATGTTTACTTTAAAAATATTTTGCATTCTTTTCATCTCTGAGGGTGTGAGATTTTAGGATGTCAAATTATTTAAAAGGTAGTAATCCAAATTGGAAAGGTAAATAATTTGTGAAGTTTCTAAAGTCTTTTAATTGCATTCCTCCAAGCATTCTGGACACTTGGAAAAAAAAAAAAAAGACAAGTGGATCACTTGAGTTCAAAACCAGCCTAAGCAAGAGGGAGACCCATCTCTAGAAGAAAAAAAAAGAAAGCCAGATTTTGTGGCAGTCCCAGCTATTCAGGAGGCTGAGGCAGGAGGATTGTTTGAGCCCAAGAGTTGGAGGTTGCTATGGGTTATGATGTCATTGTACTCTACTAGGGGCCAGACTCTATCTCAAAAAAAAAGAGGGGGGGGGAGAGAGACCAATAGAGCTTCATCACGTTGCCCAGGTTGGATTTGAACTCCTAGGGTTCAAGTGAACCTCCTGCCTCAGCTTACTGAGTCTCTAGGACTATAGGCATGTGCCAACACACCCAGTCATTCTAAATGATATTCTGTAAACTTTTCAAATAAATACCTTTGGAGATCTTCAGGTCCTAATACCTGCTTAACCTGCTCTCTGATATCCTCATTAATCCGCCTACACAATTTCCCAACTGTGCTTACCAGTACATACAATGAGGATGAACTATCTGCAAAAGAGAAATAAAAGGGCAGGATATTATTTTAACAAGGAATTTCCAGAATTATTATCTTTATCAAACATCTTTTTGATTTTTATTTTATTATTATTTTTTGAGACAGAGTCTCACTATGTCACCCTCGACAGAGTGCCGTTGCATCATAGCTCACAGCAACCTCAAATTCTTATGCTTAAGAGATTCTCTTGCCCTCAGCCTCCTGAATAGCTGGGACTACAGGCTCCCGCCACAATGTCTGGCTATTTTTTGGTTGCAGTTTTCATTGTTGTTCAACAGGCCTGGGCTGGGCTTGAACTTGCCAGCCTCGGTGTATGTGGCTGGTGCCCTACTCACTGAGCTATGGGTGCTGAGCCCATTTTATTCTTTTTACTTTAAAATTTTTACTTTAAAATTCTTTTACCTACTTTTTGTTAATTTGTTAAGGATAAATTTGAACTAGCTGATCAACACTTAAGCATACATACAGAAGTAAATCTCATTGAAAATCAAGCTGGGGGAGGGAGAAGGAAGGGATGGGTAAATTCACACCTATTGGGTACAGTGCACACTGTGTGGGTAAAGAGCACACTTACACGTGTAACTTTGATTCAATCTGTGCAAAAATAAGGTATGTAAACAAGACGTGTGCCCACTAACATTCTGAAACAAAATTTTAAAAATAATAAAAAATAATAATAATTTAAAAATTATTAGGAATAATTCTTCAATTAGGTAAAAATGATAAAGGGTCATCACCTAAATCTAAGAGTTCTTGAAGGTTTCTCACAGCATTGTTCATTTCTCCAAGCCTCGTATAAACTTCATTCATTCGGGGATAGACTCCATTTAAAGAAGGTACATCAAATAATTTTTGGAAGTGAGAAACAATAGCTTGCAACATTTCAAAGTCTGGCATATTGCTGCCCTGCTCAAAAGAGAGGATTAGAAAAAAGACAGTTCACATCTGTAAATAATCCTAAATCTTTAATTTAAAAAACTTCAAAAAGAGAAATAGAACTCTCGTAGAACAAATATTAATATCTATATCATTATCAATTTTTAAAATAAGAGTACATAAAAGGGTAAACATTTATATAAATACAAAGCATTACCTTTTCCTTATTTTCAATTTCTTCTAACATGGTATCTACCATAAACAACAAATCTTCAACTTTGATACTTTCATCTTCATCCTGCTTCATTAAATTATGCCAAGGCACCAGTTCTGCAGATAGTATTTTCAAGGACTTATATAAATCCTTTGTAACAAAAGAAACTACATGGTATTATTTATTAAATAAACAGTTTCTATATTAACAATAATAAAACCATTATTCAGGCAGGCGAAAGATATATATATATAATGTATAAAACCATCATTGGTATTTTTTTAAATACCACTACTAGTTTAGAACAAATCCATTAAAATTTGACTTCTTCAGATAAATATAGACCCTATCAAAAAAAAGTATCTACTAATTATCCTGAATATTTCCTAAGTAATTTTATGTTACTTATTATTTTTATATATTACTTACATATTTAGAAATATTAATATATAAAGTTTGTCCTTACATTTCAGTTTTGAATTTTTTATAACTGCTTTATTGAGATGTAATTCACATACCATAAAATTTAGCCTCATTAATACTCAATTCAGTAGTTTTAATGTTTTTACAGGGATATGCAATAGGTACATCCAAAAAGAAATCTCACTCCCATCCTTTTCCAATCTCCCCTCCCTGAAGCTCCTGGGCTATCTACTAGTCTACTTTCTGTTTCTATGGATATGCCTTCTGTGGGCATTTCACATCAATGCAATTATATAATACCTGGCCTTTTGCAACTGGCTTCTTTCCCTTAGCATAATGTTTAAGATTTATCAATGTTGTAACATGTATCTTCACACAGGTTTTTTCTTTTTTTTAAGATAGCAGATCTGCTATGTTGTCCAGGCTAGACTTGAATTCCTGGGCTCAAGGGATCCTCCAGCCTCAGCCTCCTAATTGGGTGGAACGACAGGTCCATGATACCATGTCAGGTTCTAGCAAGTTTTGAATCTGAAAGGATCTCTAAATTAATTCTGCTTTATCTTCGTAACACCCTACATAGTTTTCTTGGTGTAGACATGTTGCTCTAATCTATTTTGAATAGTGCACAAAAAGCGAGGCTATTGAAAACTGAGCACTGTAATGACTAATCATTTGATAAGTAAGTTGATACTTACTAAGCATCGACTACAGGTTGAGTATATCTAACCTGAAAATCTGACATGCTCCAAAATCTGGAACTCTGAGCACTGACATGACACTTAAAGGAAGTGCTCACTGGAGCATTCAGCATTTTCAAGCTAGATATGCTCAACCATTATATATTCTACAAATCCCCAAAGTAAAAAGAAATAAATAATAATCCATAATTGAAATGCTTCTGCTCCCGAGCATATCTGGTAAGGGATATTCAACCTGTATGTGCATGGCATGAGCTGGCCCTTTAGAATAATGGCGTCCAAAAGAAATGTAATGTGGGACTCCCAGTAATTTTAAGTTGTCTAGTAGACACAATATGGAAAGTAAAAATAAACAGATGACGTTATTTTTAAAAATAAATTTTATTTAACCCAATATATCCAAAATATTATTTCAATATATAATCAGTGTTTTTTTCCCATACTAAAGCCAATATGTATTTTATATCTATAGCACATCTCAATTGAGACTAGCTACATTTCATGTGATCAACAGCCACATGTAGCTAGCGGCTACCGTATTGGGAGGCACAGCTTTAGAATACAGAAAGTACAAGAAATTCCTCCTTTTTCTAACTTCTTATGTTACTCTTCCACTTATTTAACACTCCCAGTTAAGGCCCACAACTCATTATGTTGCCACCTTTAACCTCTTGTTTAGTAGGAAGGCTCTTTTAGCAATTCACATCAAATGAATGATTTACCATCAGTGCCACTAGAATTTGGAAAAAAAAAGTCAGCAAGTAGAAACATAATGACACCTTTATTAATGCTCCATCATCCAGGCACATTTATAAAGTAGTGGTCTATGGTAAAAGGCACACCCAATCTCATAATAAATTTTTGCTTGAGAATAAAAGAGTATTACAGAACTAAGAAGGAAAGGTTCTTGTCTCCTCCACAGTGTGGCATAGTCTACCAAGTAAGCTGTGAAAAATTGAAGAGGTTCTCCTAGGTTCTTCACATTGCCCAGTGGGGATGAAGGAGTATTACCACGGGCCTTCTCCCTGTGTATGTCTGCTATCTGGAGCACTGGGGAATGGGAAAGTTACAGTGTACAATAGTGTACTGGTCTGGGGAAAGCTACAGCATCCATAGCTCACCTTTCTTGGAAAAGCAGAAAAGGCAGAAGGAAGGAGACAGCTGGCTCTGTGCCTTCCCTAACTCTTTTTGTTATTCTGGTAAAATATACATACATAAAATTTACTATCTTAGCCATTTTCAGTGTTAGTTCAATGTTATTAATATGTTCATAATCTTGTGCAACCATTACCACTATCCATCTCCATGACTCTTTCCATATTGTAAAACTGAAACTCTATACCCATTTAACTCCCCATTCCCTCCTCCCACCAGCAACCACCATTCTACTTTGCCTCTGATTTCTAAGTATTTCAAATAAGTGAAATCATATAGTACTTGTCTTTTGTGACTGACTTGTTTTGCTTAGCATGATGTCCTCATAAGGTTCACTTATGATGTATGGGTCAGAGTTTCATACCTTATATGGCTGAATATAAGTATATACCACATTATATGTATATACCATATTTCACTTATCCATTCATCTCTCTAACCTATGCTTTTCTTTTAAGCTAACTCTAAACTGAGAAAAAAAATTAATTTAGGAAGATGGTTGTCCCAAACTGAGAGGCTGCTATATTATAAAGAACCTTTGATATGAGGCCTCAAAGAATCTCATGTAGTTTCTCAATTTAGATCCTGAAACTGCAGTGTAAATCTCTGAAGCACTGCTAAGAATTCATGAGTTACTTCAGCGGCAAAAGTAACTGATTTGAAATAATTTACTGTTTGTTATCCTCAGAATAATTATAAAGCCAATTCCTCAGAATATTCTAATTATAAAGCAATAATCAGAATCCACAGAGAACTCAATTGATCAACAAAAGAAGAGCAAACAATCCCATTTATCACTGGGCAAGAGACATGAAGAGAACCTTCTCCAAAGAAGATAGACAAATGGCCAACAAACATGTGAAAAAAATGTTCCTTGTCCCTAATCAACAGGGAAATGCAAATCAAAACCACTTTGAGATATCAACCCCAGTGAGAATGGCCCACATCACAAAGTCCCAAAGCTGCAGGTGCTGGCATGGATGTGGAGAAAAGAGTACTTATACACTGCTGGTGGGACTGCAAACTAATACAGCCTCTTTGAAAAGAAATAAGGAGAATCCTCAAATGGCTAAGGGTAGATCTTCCATTTGATCCTGCAATCCCATTCCTAGGTATCCATCCAGAAGAAAAGAAATCATTTTACCTTAAGGACTAGAATGTTTATTGCAGCTCAATTCATAATTGCCAAGATGTAGAATCAACCCAAGTGCCCACCAACCCATGAATGGATTAATAAACTGTGGTATATGTTTTGCTGACAAAACATAGTATTGGAATAGTCCATGGAATACTATTCAGCCATAAAAATGACAGAGACTTTACATCTTTTGTACTAACCTGGATGGACCTGAAGAACATTCTACTTAGTAAAGTATCACAAGAATAGAAAATAAGTATCCACTGTACTCAATATTAATATGAAACCAGTAGACAAATACACACTCATACAAGAGAAGAACAATTAAATTCAAGTAGGGGTAGAGGGACGAGGAAGAGGAGAGAAGGGAGGGAGACTGGTGTGCGCTCCCTAATAAGCACTTAGTAAGGGTATATAGTACACCTCCTGGGTGAGGGGTACAACAACAACTTGGACTTTACCTAAGAAATGCAAACAACATAACCTAATTGTCTGCACCCTCACATTACTCTGGAAAAAAGAAAAAAGAAAAAGAATTCACCACAGCAAACCCTTACTTGGGGGCTATCATTCAGAGAGATTATTAGTGTCCTCCAGACCTATCTGCATCATTCACTTGGAATTCATCAGAGGTGATCTATTTTTTTTTTTTTTCTTTGAGACAGAGCCTCAAGCTGTCCCCCTGGGCAGAGTGTCGTGGCATTACAGCTCACAGCAACCTCCAACTCCTGGGCTCAAGCGAGTCTCCTGCCTCTGCCTCCCAAGTAGCTGGGACCACAGGCGCCCGCCACAACGCCCGGCTATTTTTTGGTTGCAGCCGTCATTGTTGTTTGGCGGGTCCGGGCTGGGGATTCGAACCCGCCACCTTAGGTGTACGTGGCTGGCGCCTTAGCCGGGTGACCTATAGGTGCCGAGCCAGAGGTGATCTATTTTTACTGCCTTCAATTCTTCTAATGAGATATCATACATAATTGCTTAAATTTTCTTTCATATTTTTGAGTACATTTTGTCTCTCCAATTAGTCTAAATCCCATATTTGCCTTTTCTGATATCTCCCATAATGCTTTGAACATAATAAACTACAACTATTCATTAATTTGATTCTTTCCTTTGCCTTCTTTCTCTTCTGGTCTTTTCTCTTAGGAAAAGGAGCTTTTTCTAGTCCATCTCTTCTGAAAAGGAAAAAAGTGGAGTAAATGTTGTTTTTCCCACTTGGAAAACCCTCTGACAAACAATGATTGGGGAAATGCCTTGATTTATACAGTTAGTCACTATTTCACCCTTTTTCTGAGACATACACTGGAGGAATGCAGGCCTATAAAATAGGGTTATTAATTCACTACTGTCATGCAATAAAAGTATTTATATATTATATAACTCTGAGTACTATATAATAAGGGAAGTATAAATTAGGGTGAATGTGAAAATTTTTCATCAGTTACAGGTATGTTTTCATTATAATTATTTTAAAATGTAATATTACCACTCCCATTTTGTCTTGGAATATATTATCTTGCTTCATTCTTTTAACAAATATTAATTGAGCACTCATTATATGTATATCAGGATCCTTGGGACATATCATAAAAAATAATATAAAACTTTGTCCTTGGCTCAGTGTCTGTAGCTTAGTAAGTAGGCACCGGCCACATACACTGGAGGCTGGTGGGTTTGAGCCCAGGCTTGCTAAACAACAATGACCACTGCTACCAAAAAATAGCCAGACATTGTGGCAGGTGCCTGTAGTCCCAGCTACTTAAGAGGCTGAGGCAAGAGAATCATTTAAGCCCAAGAGTTTGAGGTTGCTGTGAGCTGCGATACCACGACACTCTACCAAGGGTGAGACTCTGACCTCCCCCCTCCCCCACCAAAAAACCCAACTTGGTCCTCGTGGAGCTTACACATTCATAACAGATACCTTCTGCATCATTTCTATTGCATGTAATAAGGTTTCTGTTGACAAACAATTTGATCATACCTTCATTAACATAGGTAGTGTTATGTGTGACAGTCACTGGAAAACCTAAAGTTTCAAGGGCACAGAAATTAAATAGTACTGACTTTAGTAATGGACCTTTCAGTAAACTAGCCAACAAAACCTGAAAAACCCTGAAACTATGCAATGAAGAACACATAATAACTTTACAGAGGGAACAAATTTTAATCTTCCATGAATAGACAGGATGGGTAAGAGTAGGGTTGGCTGCTAGCTGGCTATTATCCTGCTCTAGAAAATAGATGTGAAGATAAGCTCAGTTCTGGGAGAAGAAAAATGATTTAAAATATAAAGAGATAGAAGATATCCTTAATTATAATGAAATAAAAGATAAGACATTGTGTGAAGAAAAATAAAGGCCAGGCTTGGATGCAAAGAAAAAGGACACTCATGCACCGTTGGTAGGACTGCAAACTAGTACAACTCCTATGGAAAGAAGTATGGAGATTACTCAAAGAACTAATAGCAGACCTACTATTCTGCCTTGTAATCCCACTACTAGGTATTTGCCCAAATGAAAAAAAGACATTTTACCACAAGGAAATTTGCACTCAAATGTTTATAGCAGCTCAATTCATAATCACAAAGATGTAGAATCAACCCAAGTACCCATTGGAATATTAAACTGTGGCATATGCATACCATGGAAAACTATTCAGGCATAAAAAATGATGGGGACTTTATATCTTTTGTTTTTACCTGGAAAGATTTAGAAAACATTCTTCTAAGTAAAGTATCACAAGATTAGAAAAAGCATCACATGTACTCAATACCAACTTAAAACTAGGAGATTAACAATCATAGACCCACATGAGAGAAAAACTCAATTAAATTCAAGAAGGGGGGAGGTGGGGAGGGGGTTCAGTAAGTTCCCACCCAACAGATATAATGCATGGACATATGGCACACTCCCTGGGTGTAGGACACAACTACAACTCAAACTTTAACCTTACATGTGTAAATTATATAACCTCATGGTTTGTACTGTCATATTAACCTGAAATTTAAAAAAAGAAAGAAGGATCAGGGAAAATATGTAGCCTGGAAATACTAAAAAGAGGAAGATGAAGATAGAATAGGGAATGGCCTAGATGTACAAAGAGCATCCACTCTAGATTTTCAATGAAGGAACAGGCCTAAAAAATTTCGTGTTTGATAAAACTTCTGAGAAGCTGACAGCAATGATGACATTAAATAGTACTTAAAATGGATAGGTAAGTAAGAATAGTACAGTTTTTGATAAGCTAACAAGCTTTTTCAGCTTTACAGTTAAGAAAACAGAAAAATTAAGCCAAATCCTATTAATAAAGCCAAAAGAATCCAGATGTTTGATGCAAATAATAGTCAACACCTTACCTTTAAGGATGTCAGTTGATCTGCCCACATTTCTATTACTGGAACAAGATGCTCAAATCCACAATCTTGAACAAGATCTTTATTAAAATTTGGGGCTCCTCCTTTGCTCTGTTTATAAATTATTACTGGAGCTCTTGGATTGTGAATAATTGAATTGATGCTACACAGCACCTTTAAAACAAGACATGTGTTAGTCAAAATGTTTATCCTATTCCTATAAAGTGATATACATACATTAAAGGAATGCTTTATGTGTCAGTGTAACATCATTTTCAGAGTTAATGATTTTAGGTATTAAGAAGATCTTAAATGAGATCTACACTTGTAATTTTTTGGTAATACAGTAGTTTCATCAACATGTTAAATATGTAAGTTCTACTGAAAACTTTTGCAGAAAAATTAAAACGAATTAAACTTGAAAATAGTTACGAACAACTTATAGTAATCCACATAGAGAATAATCACTTAGCCTTACGTACATTCTCAACATTTCCTGTTTCTACCTTCTCATATTTAAGCTAAATAGGATATTAAAAGAGACTTTTCCTATTGCTCATAACTTTAGCTGAAGTTCAAAGTGAGGAGAATGAATAATAAAGTCCCACACATTTTAAAGAGAAGTTCTTGGCCTATCATGCAGTTCTTAGTCAGAGATGATTAAACTGACTCTCAATAGTAACTAGACTAAAAATTAGATTTTCATAAGACAGAACTCATCAGAAAAAGTGTCATTGAAAGGACTATATAGAGCTACTGAGTAGAAAATACTCTGTTGTTTTTCTTTTCTCCCCATAGACAGCTATAACAAACAGGTCTTCTGAGAATTTGATTTCCAATGTTTATTTATAAATAGTTTTTTGTTGCTGTTTTAGTTTAGGAGAGTGTATTTCAATATCTTATATGTAAACTCATCTATGAATGCCATTTTAATGGAAGTAATAATTAATTCCCCTCCACTAAATTATGAATGAGAGTGGAAATATAGTCCTTCTTTTCTCCCTGCCTCACACCAAGAGAACTTTTGGTGGCAAGAGAACTTTTGAAAGAAATCAAGGAGCTAGTACAACCTGAGCTCTGTAAGATCATAGGACAATCTCCATGAGTAGTGAATCAAGTGGGATCTACATGTATGTCTAGAAGCATGTGCCCATACTTTGTAGCATATTATCTGCAAAAATGGCTGTAATTATTTTTCTTAAGTTTTTGTGTCTTTGTGGTGTTGACACTGAGGTTCTCCCTTCAAGAAGTGCAGATTTCTGAACCTTTGAATCTGAGTTGATCGGTCCGTCTACCTATCTACCTACCTACCTTAGCGTCCTCCAGAGAAACAGAACCAATATTATAAGTATGCATATATATGCATATGTATACAATTATAATATAGTATTTTCCTTTCTTAAAATGTGCATACATTTTTGGTAACCTCTATATATAGTTCCTCCTATATATGTTGTTCATTTTATATATAAGGAGCTTTATTACAAAGAATGGGTTCATGAAATTATGGAGGCTGACAAACCCCAGATCTGTAGTCAGTAACTGAAGACCCAGGAAAGCTAATGTGTAGTTAACAATCCGAATGTGGGCAGACCAAGACCCTGGAAATGCTAATGTTTCAGTTTGAGTCTGAAGGTAGGAAAAAACTGATGTCCCAGCTGGAAGGTGGTCAGGCAGGGGTTCCCTCTTACTCAGCCTTTTGTTCATTCAGGACTTTGTTTGGTTTAGATGAGGCCAACTCACATTATCGAGAACAATTTGCTTTACTCAGACTATAAATGCAAATGTTAATCTCATACAGAAACACTCTCCCAGACACACCCAGAATAATGTTTAACCAAATATCTGGGTACCCTGTGGCTCACTCAAGTTCACACAAAATTAACCATCACAAACACCAAACAATCACTGTCTAGGTCCAATAATTGTCAACATTTTGCCATATTAGTTCATTCTATATTTTTAGCTAAACCATTTGAAAAAAATGCAGATGTCGTAACTCCTCACCTTGAAATAATGAAGCACTCATTTCTTAAAAGTAAGCATATTCTCCTACAAAATCACAACAACATTATCATACCTAAGAAAAAAATAATCGCTTAATATCACTGATACTGGAATGAATTTTAAATATCTGAATATGTATACTATTTGACCATAACCTTCTCCCCAGAAGTGATGAGTTCTACCTTATGTATCATCCAAGGAGAGGAAAGGGAGACTCCAAACAGCACGTTAAAGAGAGAAGAATAAAACCATTTCCTATTTACCACCATCAAGTCTACCCTATTTATAAATAGTAATACAAGTATAAAGATAAAATAGTATTTTGATCTTAAATCTTTGTCCTTGGTTACACTTCAAGCTACAACAAAATAGGCCTCCTAGCAATAAGAACTTCAGATATTTAGAAGACTTTTTTTTTTTTTT